GTCAGTTTTGATTATTCACATTTTTGGCTTACAGGTACCACTTTACAATAAGACTACCCTTATAAAGGGCTTACGAATAGTTTGTAATTCATTTATTAATTAGGTTGTGAACACTTTATAAGTCATTAATAAGCTTTTATAAGACATGAGATAAACAGGGCAACTGTGACCGGTTGCTTGCCAAATAGTGAGCCCACATTTATCTGTACTGCTAAGCCTTATATTGGCTACCTAGCTTACTTCATCTTCTTCATCAGCCAGCATCCTTGGCATCTGTTGCTCACTGAGTTGATTCTCTCGAAGTAGCCAAAATAAGGCTTAGTCATCTTGCCAAATAGTGAGCCTGTGTTGATGAATGAAAACTATGTTAGAACTGGTTTATAAATGGTTCTTAAAGATTAATAAAGTGTTTACAACCTAATTCATAACCTATTTATAAACCCTTATGAATCCTTTATAAGGGTAGTCTTATTGTAAAGTGGTACCGTATCATTTTGGCACTGTGTTGTAAAAAAGTGTTTTCACTTTTCCATGCTGCACTTTATTATTGTTTCTTTGTCCTATGATCCATAAATAAATCAACCATTACAAAAAAACATCTTGATATGGAATTTTATGAGATTTATGAAAATGTATCTGAGTAAAAAGCGTACCTTCTCATAGGACACGGAGTCAAACATCTCCTCCACCTGCTCCGGCTCGTTAACCTCGGTGGACACAGCGTGGGAGGAATTCAGCGCGTCTTTGTCCAAGGCTCTGAAGCGGACGGCCAGGAACAAATTACCCTGCAAACAAACAGAGTTTACTGGAAGGCAGACAATGAAGCACGCCGCTTCAATATTTCTGAGGCAGGTGTGTGAACCTACGATGTCCAGCTTGGGCATCACGGCCTGCAGCGACATGTACTGCATGTAGGTGGCAAAGCCTTCGTTGAGCCACAGGTCATTCCACCAGCTCATCGTCACCAAGTTTCCAAACCACTAAATATGCAACATCAGAAAAACATGAGGACCTGACTGTAGCATAATGCACTGCATCTGCTTCTTTTTACAGACATCAAAGTAAATACCTGATGGGCGAGCTCATGCGCTACCACAGAGGCAACGACTTGTTTTTCCAGAGGAGAGGAATTCTGTCCCACCAGCAGGCTGGTCTCTCTGAAAGTGATCAGGCCCCAGTTCTCCATGGCTCCTGCCAGGAAGTCAGGGATGGCTACCAAGTCTGAAACAGGAAATATTTAGGTGTGTGAAGAGGTCATTTAAGTCAAGGAAATGGTGAGTATAAACCTTTTGTGAAACTACCTGTGTGTACTCACCTAGTTTTTTAAGTGGGTAGTTAATTTCAAAGAAGCCGTTGTAGAACTCCAGCAGTTTGGAGCATGTTTCCAGAGCATAGTCAGTATGCTCCTTCTTCTCTGGCACAGAGTACACAGACACCTAAACACACAGATAAACATCTACACATCAAGACACTTAGCAGCAAAACACAGAACCTCACTGAATACTTAAAGAATACAAATGAAGGAGCCACACTTTTATCAGACCTACCAGCGTGTTTGAGACATTTTTAGTCATGGAGGCGAAGTTAGCAACGATGAAGGCCACCAGGTAGGTGCTCATGTTGACACTGGTCTTTTCAAACTCATCTTGTATGAGGCCATTGACAAGTGGTGTGCTTTTAGCCTGAAGCACAAAGCATTAGTACAAGATTAGGACCAACTATAAAACAAGATTTTGCAAGTACCATATCAATACATGAAACATGGCTGCTTGTTTGTGCCCACCCTAAGAGCTTACAAGTCAAAGGAAAATTATATAGGGCTGAAATGTAAATTGTGTCTTTGTTACAAACGTGACATTATTTGTCAGCTGCAGTTTGGAAGCAGAGAATGAGGCTGTGCACACTGACAAAGACAACGCTGTTTTCAGGTCATAAACCACAAAATTGTCTCTAGGGAACATGCCTAATTTGATTTGAGTTGGTATATACTACCGTCCTAATGCTAGTAACCACTGGCATCACACTAAGCCATGTCAGTAAACATCTGTGCTAATCTAGTAACTGAGAACACTGATCAAGCCCGTTTGTAGCTCACTAATTGAAAATCTTTCATTATTTGTCCATTAAGTTAGAACAGCACATGTATGTGAGGTGTTTGAACACTAGTTGCCGTACAGTAGCAATTAACCAGGACTTAGTAAATGTTACGGTACCAAAGGCATGTTGGAAAGAGTCATGAAGTCTGTTTTTCTGCTGATTTTGATAAGGAAGGTGGCTTTGAAAGCTGGTTCATCAAAGCACGGAAAGGCTTTCCTCGCTGACAGTGGCTCAAACTGGGTTGCTGCTAAGACCCTGGTGACAAGAGGGGGATGAGCACAGTCAGGTTGAACAAAACACATTTGTAAATAATATTTTGAACAGCAACGTTATTTTTAGTAGTATCTGTCATAAGGTCTGATGATGAGGCTCTTGATCAAATCCTCTGCAGAACATCTTCCAGCTGTTTTGAAATGCGTACACAACGAGCAAGTGTACCTTTTGTTTCCATCTTTATCGGTGTATGAGCTGTTGTAGAAACCATCGTAGGAGTGTGAGAGGTTTGCAGAGTACTCCAGGGTCAAAACACAGGACTGGCCTGCCTTCAGATCCTCAGAGAACTGAACAGCTATCTGCTGCCTGGGGAGGTACTCCAGGACAGTCACAGCTTTGGAGACCCCTTCACCCAGCTGGAAGAGAGGACGTATGAGCTAACAACTAGCAGACAACATCACATCGTTTAAAACAATTATTTCGTTCAGGAACAATCTAAATCTTAATTTCTGCACATCTATTTAGACTGGAAATCACCTGAACTTGTTAATTAGGGTTCTTACGCCTAAATAAAATGTATGATGCATGGGGCCACACTGAGAAGGTTTCATTATGAGAATGACCAGACTCACAGACTGCAATTAAACAATGATTAAAGGAATTAATGCGTGAACAGTGACACTCCCCAATTGTGCTTTATTACAATGATGGCAGATGATGTGCTCTCTTGTTATTTTTTACACAGCAAAACAAAGATTGACTAAAATAAAAAACTAACTTAAATTCTGCCATAAAAATATATGAACTAAAGCACTTTCCATGACCCCACTAATACCCTTTCTAACCCACCTTGAAGGTAGCTCCGGTGATGTTGAGTTTGGCGCTGTGCAGGACGATGCGCTTGGTGTTGTGCTGCACAGACAAGTTGATGACGGTGTAGCCGGTGAAGGTCATGTCCTCAAGGTTAGGGTTCAGGGTGACCTCATAGCTCAGAGGATGTACGCTCTGAGGCAGCCGGTAGCTGTTCCATGGAAACGGTTCGCCACTGGAAGACGCGGGGTTGACTGGCACTAAGGGGGTGGTCTGGTTGGCCTTTCGACAACCCGTCTGCAGAAGAATGAAGGGTCAGCAAACAAAGGTTATGACAGAGAACTAAAAAGGGAAATGATATGACAGAGATATCAACATAATGTGTTAAGCGAGTCCTGTTTAGTAATCGAAGCATGATGAAGAAAATCTACCTGAATAGAACTAGTGAATATTCCTCTTACCTTGGTAAAGGTGCATCCAGGTAAGAAGTACAGTACCATGGTCATAGAGGCCACTACCACCAGCAATAACACACATACAACCGTGGTTCGGGCTGAGGGTCGGGAACATGACCTGAGACAAACAAAGTTTACAAATATAACTTTGACTTAAAACTGAGCGGTAGTGGTTATGAAAAAGCTGGGGATGGTGGTGTTGTGACAAACGGCTTTAAATTGGTATCTTGACTGAAACCTTTTTCCATGCAAATCTGATCTTTTAAGAATGGTCTTTAATACAAATCTAATTGGTGTGTTGCCTTTTTTTGTGTGAAGAACACCAATCTCAGAAAACACTCCCTTGCCTTGTGTGTTATGTTGCAGGTTCCTGGTGTAAAAGAGCCTGATATTCGAACCCACTGCATCATATTCATTAACAGTACTATCTGGCATTGTCTTTGGGCATCTTACTTAATTTTGATTAGCTTTGCAACTGTAACCACATAGTTTCGGACGGGATCTTCAATGTAGCTGCTGTTTCTCTACAAATCTTTGAGCGAGTGGTTCACCGAAACAATCACTGCTTGTTTAATGATTATGTCAATCTTAGTGATAGATGAGGTCATTCATTTTGTATTGAGCACACAGAGATAACACACTTTTTGACTATGTTTATTACTTCCATATATATTTATTGGCTCAGTACAAGCTGAACCGTCTCAAATGCGTTTCCCAGAAATACTTTAGATTTTTGTTCATATTAAGACCTTTTTAGAGCATTACCTTGGTGGAAGCTGCCTGGCGTAAGGTGAAGAGCTGGGTCTGTTAGCAGAGCTGCGGTTCATGAAGGACATGCCCAGCAGACGGGCTGAGGACTCGCAGTCCTCCTCATCCTCGTCCATGTCGTTCTCTCCCAGCCCTCGCACGAGCAGCCGCGAGCTACGAGGCTCATACGCCACCTCATCCGGGTCAAGAGCAGGAAACGTCTGCAGAGAGCACGGACATTACACTCTGTTATTCTCCAACTTAGCTGTGCACTGTTCCCCATTTATAGTTAATAATTGAATTCTAGTCACAGGTAAATTAATAAGCACAGGGTTAGATGTGTGTAGGTGGTGAGTGGAGGGAGGGCAGAGACCGGAATAATGAAAATAATAAGGGCAGAGGAGGGTCTGTCAACAAAGAACAGGGAAAAATGGAGAGCAATAGAAACCTTTTGTTTTAGGATGAATTAAATAAACATCTTGAACATAAAGGGAAGCACATTTAGGAGAGGGTTTGTCGGGTGACTGACTTTGAGGGAGGACAGGGGGGTCGGGTACTGAGTAACACACTTAAGGTCTTACTTAATCTAAAATGTTTTTGACACCGTATGTCGATACTGTACATTTGGAAAATAGGTGCTTTTAGTTCTGAACAGGCGACAGCTCGATCTTCATGCTACGATGACGTTTCTTAGTGCAATTTTCACAATTCTGTGTATAGATTATTGCAGCTGACAGATCTATGTTCAGACCAGTGAAAGATACACTGAACTCAAAGTTTACTCACAAGTGGTGGCTGACCTTGAATTAGCTGGTTCTAATTTATATTTATTTTGTGTCCTTTTGTAGTCAATTTCCTGTTGTTTGTCTTGTCTTACCCCGGCTGATACTTCACTAAATCCACTGTTTTAATTGTTCCCTATATTGCCCCTATGCCCTGTAAGGTGTCCTTAGGTGTTATGAAAGGTGCCCCCCAAAATAAATGTATTATTATTATTATTTATATTGCCATGATCTTTTCACATTATCAGATTTAACGAGAAAAACACTTGTGCAGAGTGTTGCAAATAAGCATTACAAATGATTGAGCCAGACTGGTCTTTAAAAATGAAGACATGCATTGCATGAGATGACGGGAACATACTGGAAACGCAGTGGAGTCTTTGGCCAAATCCACCACATCAGGCTCTTCTTCGAACATGCTGTTCTCAATCATGTTTCTTGGAAGGTTAGCTCGATCTGCAACAAAGGAAAAAGAGGAAATTAGAAAAGTGGAAAAGTAGAATATTTATATACATTGATGACACATTCACACTGGTGTAATTGTTGGAGTTTGATAGTCAACCAGAGAAGAGTTGTGACAAAAAGTATTTTTTCAACACAAAGACTTCTTATTGTCACCCAATATGCAGGCAACAAGAAGCCTTGTTTTACAAAGGCTCTTTTTCAGTTTCCTGTATGTAAACCTTCTTCAGCATTTCCTTGTATTTCACCCACATAAAATGGATGCATCAAGCTGGTAAGAAAGTACTGGTTTAACAAAATATGTTTAAAGAGGAATTTCTTATTAACTACAATAAGAAAACATTGACAACGTATATATTAAAAAAATATCAGGAAAAAGCAAACACAATTCATTCAACTGGTCATGTCACTAAGTTCTGCATTTCCACAAACTAACTAGTGTCTAAAGCATCATGTCGGGTATTATGCCTCGTCTTACAAAAAGCATGTGACTTTCTGGCAGGCGGCTTCTGCACTACATTTTTGGAACAATCAGAGACATTTTCAACTTAATTTAATAATATCAAAAGTAGAAAAAAAACCCTAAACAATGCAGTTCTCCTATTTGTTTCACTTTTCATTCTTGGTTGAACAAGCTTAGGATAATGCATTTACATTCTCCGTTGGGTTGGAGGGGAAAGCACAGGGAGACATTGAACACTTACTGAATTCACAGGGCTCTTATAGAAACAATCTGACCAAACACGTGAACGTTGGCTCCCCAAACACAAGACAAGAGGCCCAAAATGCATGAGAAGAATTTAGTTTCTTGTCTGTCCTATATAGTGTTTCTGATAAGACTGTACGGGCTGTCACAGTGTCCCTGTCTGCACCACAGTGCTGGGGTATGAAGGCCTATTTATTAGCTAACAGCTAAGTAGTTCTACTTCTAATTGCTGCGTTATTGTAAGGAAAGTTATTTCATATTAGCAAGATGACATGCTCAGATAAGAGAAGAAGTTGATGTAATAGTTATCATTAATAATAAAACATGAGCATAACAACAACTACTGTTCTTCCATAAAGCCTGTTCGAGCTCTGTAGATACAGCAGCAGTGCATGTTCATCTGCTGACTGCGTACTTCCTGTTGACCTCAAAACATTTATCAACCCTTTGTGGTTTGTATTACGCAAGTCCGACCTCTCACAGAAATAAAGATGAATATGTCTGAGTTTGATAGGTGGTCCTAATATAGAAGTAGGTAGTAGACAACCAGCATGAGGCAGATTACTGAGCAACAATATGGTTATCAGTTTGTTGGTCATTAGAATTGTGTTCTTTCTGCTTCTCTTTTCTTATCATTATCTGATTAAAATGTGATTGTGAAATGTGACTTTGGGTTTTTACTTGAAACACCAAGCCAAGCACACACAGGAAGAAAAAACAGGAAGTTGTATTGCTGTGATTTTATGACTGCTTCCAAGTTGAGGCCAACATTAATTAAATACACCCTCAAAAGGAGCTCATGTGTGCACTGGGCTTTTTGTTTGTTTTCATAAAGCCTCGCACACTCTGGGACCTTAGAGAGGTTGTAAAAACAGCCTGAGCTGAGCATGACTTATCTCTCCACACCAACACAAAACACAGCTATGATCAAACCAACAGGCTCACACTGGGCAAACAGTGCTGCTGTGTTTTAACAGTCAACTTGGGCATTAACAGAGGCATATTAGGTTTCTGCAAAGACAGACATTCTTTAGGATGTTAGAACAGTGTTATTGCCTTTTTTTCTGCTAGATAAACTCACACTTTGATAACAACAAGGTTCAATAACAGCCAATCCCGTTATGTCCTTAGACTTATGTGCGTTAGCAGACTGATACTGTCTGAGACTCCATACAATGTGACATTGAAATCACTGAGAAAACACAAGGTTTAGCTAGTCAGAAGTCAA